TAGCTTCACCACACCTTTTAATTTCTATAACTTTGTAGTGAGTTATGGAATTAGGAAGTATGACTTATTTAACTTTGTTTCATCTTTTCAAAATTATTTAGGGCATTAGGATTCATTTGAGATTCCATATGAATTTTATTTTTAATAAAGTAATATTTCATTATAAAATTGTATTAATATGTTTTAGTACTGCATCATTAAAACTGAACACGTGCATAAACTATACATTAAGTTAACCACTAAAAAAGTTCAGTGCTATTCTTGGAATTGTGGGAAGGTTTTTTCTATTTCTTGGGAAAAAAAAAACAATTATAGGGATTTTGAAGCTCTACATGACTTTGGATAGTATTGTTTTCTTAACAAGTTTTGCGATCCATACACATATGTGGCCTTCCATTTATTTAGGTCTTCTTTAGTTATTTGATCATGTTTTGTGTTTTCAGTATCTAAGACTTAGCTTCTTAGGTGAATTTTTTCCTAAACTAGTATTTTAATTCTTTTTGATACTGTTGTAAATGGAATGTTTTCTTAACTTTCTTTTCATGTAGCTCATTTATAATGTGTATATAATCAACTGATTTTTGCATGTTGATTTTGTATTTTGCTGAATTTGTTTATTAGTTCTAATAGTGTTTTTGTGGATTGCTTTCATCTGCAAATCGAGATTTTGTTTCTTTCTTTCCTTTTTGGATACCTGTTATTTCTTTTTCTTGCCTAGTTGCTCTGCATAGATTTTTCCAATAATACGCTGAATAGAAGTGGCAAAAGCAAGCATCCTTGTCTTGTTCCTGATCTCAAGGATAAATCTCTCATTTTTTCACCATTAAGAATGTTAGCTGTGGGTTTTTCATATATGGCTTTACCACATAGGCAAGTTCTCTTCTACTAATTTTTTGAATGTTTTTATCTGAAAGACTCTTGAAATTTTTCAAGTTTTTCTCTCTATTAATATATGACCAACTGGATGTTTTCCTTTACTTACATTAAAGTGGCATGATTCCATTGATTTCTGCATGTCGAGCCACCCTCACATTTCTAGGATAAGTCCCATTTGTAATGGTGTATAATCCTCTACTATGCTGCTGAATTCAGTTTGCTAGTATTTTGTTGAGGATTTTTCAATCTGTATTCAAAAGGATTCTTTATCTTTAGTTTTTGTTATTGTGATTTCCATATCTGCCTTTGATGACAGGATAATGCTAACCTCATAATATTATTTGGCCTGTGTTTTTGTCAGTATTTTGGAAGATTATGAAAGGATTTGTACTTATTCTTCTTTACATATTTGGTATTAGTTCACCAATAAAGTCATGTGGTCTGGTCTTTGCTTTTTTTGGAGATTTGTGATTGTTGATTAAATCAACCTCTGTTATAGGTCTTTATGTTGTGTTTCTAGAATTTGTCTATTTCATTTTGATTATGAAATTTGTTGGCTTAAAATTGTTCAGAATATGTTCTTAAATTCCTTTTTTTCCTCTAAAATTTGTAATGATCTCGCTTCCTTTCTGACTGTAGTTAATTGGGTCTTGCTTTCTTTTCTTTGGAGGGACAGGGGTGTCAACTAACTAAAAGTTCTCTATTTTTCCCATATTTTATTATTAAAGGAATGTACTTTCAGTTTTCTTAATTATCTTGTTTTTCAGTTCTCAATTATACTAACATTTTGTGTAAAGTTTAATATTTTCTTCCTTTTGGCAGCTTTGGTTTTAGTTTACTCTCCTTTTTTATAGTTCCTTAAGGTATAGAGTTATTGAATTAATATTCTTTTCTTTTAATATAGATATGTATAACTATAAATTCACCTATTAATGCTACCTTTGATGCATCCCATATTTTTAGTAAGTCACATTTTTGTGTCATATTCTTCTCAGGTATTTTCTAATTTCTTTGTAATTTCTACTTTGATGTAGAAGAGTGTTTTGGTTAATTTTCAATGTATTTGCAAAATTTCCAATATTCTTCCTGTTATTGATCTCCAATTTCATTCAATTACAGGTAGCGAATACATTTTATATGACTTTACAGTCTATTGAAATTTGTTGGGACTTAACAAATTTGCTTGTTAATTTTGTTCAGATGTGTTGTGTGGCTTTACATGTACCCTATCCTAGATAATGTTCTGTGTGCACTAGAGAAGAATGTCCTGCATATGTCTGTTAGGTCAGATTAATTTATAGTGTTGTTCAAATATTCTGTTTCCTTATTAATTTCTTTCTGATCTATGCATTTTTATAGTATTTTCCTTTTTTTTGTTGTTTTTGTATTTTTTTCAGTACATTATTGAAATCGGTATGTTGAAGTCTCTAATTATTAATGTAAAACTTTTTTTCCCCATCAATACTGTCAGTTGTTTTTTTAAAGATTTATTTATTTATGCATACAAGAGCTGGGGTACAGGCCAGAGATGTGGGGGTTGAGAGGATTCACCAGACAGTGGGGAACAGAACAGGCAGATAGACTGAAGTACACTGCTGAGGGGAGCAGCGGGTGAGTCAGGAGAGGTCTGCTGCACCATGTGGGTTTCTCCCTGGCCGGCTGGGGATCGAACTCATGCTGCAGAGGCTGCGGATTGCTTCATAGTGTGGTGCTTAACCCCTTGCACCACCAGGGAGGCCTAATACTGTCAGTTTTTATTTCAGATATCTTGGGGCTCTTTTGTTAGGTATGAGCCCCATACCTATATGTACTATATATTTATAATTGTCATATTTTCTTAATGTCTTAAACCTTGTACCTTTATAGTATTCTTTTGGGTTCTTATAACCTCCTTTGACTGAAAGTTTGTTTTATCTTTTTGTAATATAGCCTCCCCATTCTCTTTTGATTTTCTATCATAATTTCTCACTTATGCAGTACTTTGTATATGTTAAGGATACATTAATATGTTATTGTAAAACTGAATAATCATAGGTGACTAGTACATGCTTTATTTAGGCCATTTTCAGCTCCTTAATATATAATTTATAAGCACAGTGTTTATTCTTGCAAAATAGAGAAAAAATTTTAATCTATTATAAGAGGGAGTACTTTAGCAGTGATCTTTTGTATCTTTTGATTTATTCAGTATACACAAATAAATCATAAGTAATAAAATAATGAATAATGTTAGAGCTGAGCCTAATGTGGAGGTAGAAAACACAGCAGTTTATTTCAATTCCATTATCTCTGTGTAGAAAATTCAAATTTTATCAGACACTGAGATGAAATGTTCCTTTCTTACTTCTTTTGATAATGTGCCAAATTTTTGTGTGACAGAAGACTCTACACATCACTTTTATCATTAATAACTAAAAAATTAAAGGTCAAATAAATAACCTACCAGTACTTATTAAGTAGATTCTTGATGTTCATGTTTTACATGACATGTTATAAAGATTTATGACTTGAGTTGATCTTTAATGCATAAAATTTTGTGTTAACATACACTTCAATAATATAGGTAAAAGTAAATATTAAGGTAGATGATTTTTAAAGATTCTCTTTAGCTTATCCAAGCATTGTCTTAATTGCTTACATACTTTTGAATGGATTTTTATTGAGACATATATTGTCAAAAGTTCTATCCTTTTAGGATGAGGGCATAAACAGCTAAAATAATATCTGTACTAAAGCTTTATTTTTAACTTTCATATAAAACATTTAAAACAGTGACTGTACATAGTAAATGGTCATTAAGTGATAACCGTTATTATTGATATTGCCAGATCTTTTTCTAGGTACTGGAGATAAATGAATAATAGATGGTCCCTGTCTTTAAAACTCCAGCAAGTAGCATCAAACTAAAATACTTCTGTGCAGCAAAAGAAACTATCATTAAAATGAAAAGACACTTCAAATTGGAAAAATCATTTGTTCATCATATATCGGACAAAGAGCTCATATTCCGAGATCTACAAAAATTCTTACAACTCAACAAAAAGAAAACAAATAACCCAATCAAAAACTGGGCAGAAGATCTAATAGATGCTTCTCCAAAGAAGACATACAAATATGCAACAGGCACATGCAAAAATGTTCACTATCACTTACCATCAGAAAAAGGCAAATCAAAATCACAGTGAGATACCATCTTACACCTATGAAAATGACCCATGTCAAAATAACCAAATAATAACCAAAATAACCAACAAAGTAACTTGTTGGCAAGGGTATAGAGAGAAAGGAATCATTGTACACTATTGGTGGGAATGTAGGCTCATCTACCTCCTATTGAAAACAGTATGGAGATTGGTGATTCCAACATAGCTAAATTCCCAACTCCTTGATTTTAATCTTCTTTAATTCCATTATTGTTTTGATAATAGAGTCCCATCATACATATTTTTGATCTATGTTTTTTATAAAAATTATTGGTTGGATTGTTTATTAATAGAAACTAGATTTTTAGTATTTAATTTAAATCTTTGTATTTAAAAAATATTTCAATCAAATGAACTTCACCTGTAATGATATGTTGTCTCAAGGCAAAGATCCTATCTTAGGGATTAAATTTGTAAGTCTCAAATACTCATTTTTTCCCTTAGACAGTGATGGGTACCCACCTCTCTGCTTTTTAAATTACTTCTATTTTTTTTTTAAGATTTATTTATTTATGCATATAAGAGCTGGGGTACAGGCCAGAGGTGTGGGGGGGAGAGGACCACCAGAGACAGAACAGGCAGATCAACTGAAGTACACTGCAGAGAGGAGCAGCAGGGGAGTCAGGAGAGGTCTGCTGTGCCATGTGGGCTGCTCCCTGGCTGGCCGGGAATCAAACTCATGCTGCAGTGGCTGTGGATTGCTTCATAGGTTGTGTCTTAACCCCTGCGTCACCAGAGAGGCCCCACTTATTAACTAACACACATGGAAAACTTAAACACAAAATAGTTATTTTTCCTCAATAGGTATTGGGAAGGTATATGGGCAACTATTGGTGGCACTCTGGTACTAATCACAGAAATAGTCCATATTTTTTATACACTATTGCTGGTTTTGAGAATTTTTTCTTCTCCTAATTTCAGGTTGGGTGGGACTATATCAGCATACAAGATAGTACCAGACGAAATAGAAGAAATCAAGGTATAGTATGGCATTTTTCACCTCCACAAAATCTTAATATCTTGGTGGGAAGGTGGGAGAATTTCTTTTTCTTTATATGATATATTTTCTTTTCTTTATGCTTTTGAATCTTTGGGTGTTTTAAGATATCATGTAATTCCCTGTTAACCTGTTTGATTTAAATATATGCATATATATATGTATTCATATGTATATATGCATATATTATAGTCTATATTAATCAGATAATCACCATCAAAGTCATCCACTATTATCTATGCATTTCTAAGAAAAATATTAGGGGAAGCAAACAGGAATCCTTGTGTATAAAATTTAATGAAAATCAACCAAAGAAAGCACTTTACATAAGCATTAGTGTGCATTATGGATTCTCTTTTTATCTTGTTTTAATTTATTTTCCCTGTAAATGCCTGTCAATAATAACTTTTAATCAATTTTCTGGTAAATATCTCTTGGTTCCTTTGAAACTGACGTGCCAATATTAATTTAAAATTTGCAGTACAATAAATTTAAAAATTGACCTTACTTTTTGATAATTGCATTATTATTATATTCTTCTGTCTCTAGCATTTTATACAATGAAATTTTAGTCTTGTAGCACAAAAGCAATTTACAGTCTAATAAGAAGTAAATTTGGTATTCATCACATTATTTTTAACAATTAGATAACAGTAGTCAATGTTAAACAAAACTGAGTTAAGTTGTTAGCAGTGGCATGTAAAGATCTCAACAAAATCATTAATCTTGATTTCAAATTTTTGAATTTGAAATTAAAGTTGATTTCAAAATCAGTTTCAATAAATTCAAATCTTAGTAAAATATTCTTTGGTCTTTGTCGTTTGAGAGAAATGGTTAGCAAAATCTTTCCAAAAAGAAAATCAGCAAATAGGGGTTCCATACAGAGTCCGAAGCATTTCTGAAAGCAAAAGATAATATCACACCAGATCATAGATGTACAAGATGTTGAGATATATGACTGGAAGTGGTCTTTTACACCATGCTAAGAAATTTGGATTTTATACAAAAAGCTATGGGATACCATGATGTAATTTTAAGAAACAAAGTAACATAATTTGGTTTTTCTATGATGAATGAGAAAAATTATTTCAGTGGTGAAGAGAAAGTTACAACTACAAGGAGATGAGATTTTGGGAATGTAGGCAGATGTGATTAAAACCGATAGGATAGTAGCAAGAAGGCTGAAGAAAAAAAATCACTTTTTTTTTTTTTGTCTACCATTTTTATTGAGGTAACATTAGTTGATAACGTTGTACTTGTACATGATTTAGATGTATAGGATCTGTCCCTTCAGGTTGATTTGCCCAAGATCTCACAACAAGTAATGGTAGAACTATATTCAAACACAAAGTCTGTGTTTTTTTACATTAGTGAGAGTTAGTAATAGCATAGATGTAACGCCTTTTAGTTTGATGTAGTCCAGTTGTTTGTGTTCTCTTGTTTTCCATGCTGTTGAAGGTGCAGCCACAAAGACATATCAGAAATCTATGCCAAAGAGTGTTTTGCCAATTTTTCTACTATGTATTTTATAGTTTGCAGGACTTACATCCAAGTCTTTTGTCCATTTTGAGTACTTTTATATCACATACTTTTGTATGTGATATAAGATAGTGGTCTAGTTTCCTTCTTTTGCATGTGACCAGGGTTTATAAGAAACATTTGGCTAAAATCATGAGGTTATTAAGAATTATTACATGAGATGTTGCTGGAAAGTTAGATTGGTATCACATTGTAAATTAGTAGTATATCTTAGGGAAAAAAGTTCAGGTTGGAAAAATATTTACACATCATACATTTGACATACTTAATTCAAAATATACAAAAACTCATACAACTCAACAAAAAGAAAACAAATCACATTTTCCAAAAAAAAAAAAAAAAAAAAGGGCAAAGGAGCTAGACACTTCTCCAAAGAAGGCATAGAGAGGGCCAACAGATAGATGAAAAAATGCACATCATGACTTATTGTCAGGGAATGCAAATCAAAACCACAATGAGATACCACTACACACCTGTGGAAAAGACCCATCTCAAAATAACCAGAAATAGCAAGTCATGGCAAGGTTGTGGAGAAAATGGAGCCCTTCTACACTGCTAGTGGGAATGCAGACTGTCCAGCACTTATGGACAACAGTATGGAGAATCCTCAAAATACTAAAATAGATCTGCCAGATGATCCAGCGATCCCACTCCTCAGTATCTATCAAAAGAATTCAGACACTAAGTCCAAGGAATATATGTATTCCTGTGTTCATTGCAGCAATATTTATAATAGCTAAGTTATGAAAACAATCTAAGTGTGCAAAAACAGATGAACGGATTGGGAAGATATGAGTGATATATATATATGTATATGTATATATATACATATAATAATAATTCTATATACATATATATATACACATATGTATATCTCATACACACACACACACACACAATGGAATACTACTCCAGTATATAAAAACAAAAAGATGAAATTATGTCACTTGTAACGAAATGGCTGAAATTGGATGAGAGTATGGTAAGTGAAATAAGTCACAAGCAGGAAATCGAAAGATTTTGAGAAAGACATTTTCAGATTCACTTCATAGGATTTACTAATCTTATCAAAATGAATTGGAAAGAAGCATAGAAGCAAACTACTTATGATACTTAGAACCAATGTAGATGAACTATGATGAAGGTAGGCTTAGGTCAGTAATACAACAGTAATGGCAAGTGTGGGAGGCACATTACAGTAGTTAATAGACAATGCAGCTTCATTGCATTATAACCTTGTTATAATGCATTATAATTGCATTATAACCTTAACCATTCTGTGTTTTCTCAAAAATAAGATAATAAAAACCAAGTTTTCTTGAATTTAAAGCCTACTGTTGTTTTTGTAGTGAAAAATACAATAAATGTTTATAAAGGTCTTAGAATTGTACCTGGTTTGTGATAAACATATAATAAATGACAGCTATGTGGTATGATCCAAGCTAACTTGAGAACTAAGGAATAGAAATAAATATTAATTCAGATTTTTAGCTTGGACAAGTTCATGAAATATTATGTTAATCTCTGATCTAAGGATTTCAAAAGAGAATCATATAGTGGGAGAATAATGAATGTTGGGTTTCTTCAGGGCATATAGATAAGGTATGCTCCTTTAAGTGGATATTTATTCATTCCTCAACCAAATAATTAAGTGTGTTGTCTGGTCTATTCACTATTGATGATTTTTATCTCTTTTTTCTTTTCTGGTATTAGTCATTTATTTGAAAAACCCCTTTCCTATGTTACTTTGTCAGAGTAAGATTACCCAGAGGATAGAAAAATATATGTATATTTTGAGTATAACAAATATGAAATGGTTGTAGGTTTTCTTTCCACTCTATTTCTGATGATTTAGTTCCTCTTTAAAAAAAAAAAAAAAACAGGATCTAGAATGCTAAATCATATAATGTGAGGTAGGTAATTTTCCTCTCAACATCAGAACATTCTGATCTGGTAAAGGGAACAGTTCTTGGCTCTCTTTGAAAAGATAGTTTAAGCCTACCTGTCTTTCTGCTATTTTTTGCTGCCTATAGATAGATCAATGTTCTATTGTTTCTCTTGCTTATTATTACATAATATCTTTACACTGAAGTCTTGGCTAAAATTTCATCACAATACTATACTATCTTTAATCTTACTAAAATGAACTTCCTCTGCTATCCGGTACTAGTAGACATAAAAATTATGTTGTAATAGCTTAAGTATTTTTACCACTAATAGTCTAATGGAAAATTAAACCACAGTGGCAGTTATTACTATAAAAGTTATGAAAAACCAATCCCTTTATATTCAACATAGAGTTAAGTATCAGTGAATAAAACTATTTTCAGATGGTTTTTGTTAAGGGAATTTTTTAAGGAGAATTAAACTAACTTCATATTATATGTTATCTATAACTAATTATTTGTCTAGTTTTATGCATCTTGAAATAAATTTTTCAAAGGAAAATTCACATAATAAAGAAAACATTGTCAGTGGTGTATCATTGGCATTTGAGAGAATGTGATATAACTATGACAGAAATTCTTCTATTTCCTACTAATTATAGTATTTCAATATAAAGAGCCTTACCAATCTCATATAAATCTTACATCTAAAATACACACACACACACATATATATATATATATATATATATATATATATATATATTAGAAATAGATATGGTTTGACCAAATATCTTTGCTTCCTTAATGGTTTAGTAGTATGTTGTGTACATGTGCATCTGTACATGTGTACATACAAATAGATTGTAGGAGATGCTTTTCATGCTTTCATTTACCTTAATCTTCCTATCAATAATCCAAATTTCAAAGCATTTCAGTAAATTTCTATGGATACAAAACTAATGAGTCAACTAGAACGTAAATGACCATCCAAGTCTGTTCTGTCCCTTAGCATGTTCCTTTCCTATTACCTCTTACTCTACCCCAGTACCTCACAGTTAGAAAATTTATAAACAGTATTGTTTAGAAATGTGAAAACCTGAAAGCAACATAAAATATTTATCATCAGTTAGGTAACTCATACAAACTTAAAAATTATTATCTTGAACTTATTCATGACATTATTGTTAAATTGAAAACTCAAGTTAAAAATCACAAAATGTTCTGAAGACCCAAAGCAATCTTGAGAAAATTAAACCTGGAAAATCATACTCTGATTTCAAACTGTATTACAAAGTTTTAATAATCAAATTTGTCTCATATTGACATCAAAAAGGAAGACATAATGGGACAAGAATAGAGAACCTAGAAATCCACTCATGTATACGGTTGATTAATTTTCTAAAGTGGCATCAAGAACATACACTGGAGAAAAGATAGCATCCCCCTACACTCAACACCTATTGTGCTAATAAATTCAGTAACATAGAAGAGATGGACATGTTCCTAGAATCATACAGTTACGAGATTGAACTGGGAAGAAATAGAAACCTGAAC